CTAATACCATTATTATTATTATTTAAATTCTTTTAATTGCGTTTCATTCTATTGAGAAATTCTGAAAATTAAAAAAAAAAGATTAAATGATTGTATAAAAACATAAAAAAAAAACATGTTTTGTTTATTTTCTTGATTTTATTGTTTTGATTGAGTTTTTATTTATTTTTTATTAAATTTATAATTTGTTGTTTTTAATTAAAAATTATGTTTTTTTTTTAATGTTAATAATAATGATTTTAATAAAAAAAAAAATTCGTTTTCATTTTTGAAAAACTTTTTAAAAAAAAAATTTTTGTTTGTTTTAATTCTTAATTTTTTTTTTTTTAGCCTCATCATTAAAATCTTTTAACAGTTATGCTATTATTATTTCAAGTTTAACACAAAAAAAAAAAAAAAAAACGAAAATGAAAGTTTAAAAAAAAAATAAGAATCATTTCCCCCCACAATTTGTTTTTTTTTTTTTTTTTACCATCACTCATCGTCCATGAAATCATGTTTTGTTATTATTTCTGCGTCATAATAATTCTGTGAAAAAAACATTTGCTGGCTACAATTTTCTTTGATGAGTAATTAATTATTAAAAGTAAAACGACCTAATTCGATTGTGAACGCGATGGTGAATTTTAATTTTTCATACCTAATTATTATTATTATTATTTATTGTTTTTCAAACCGATTACATTCATTTTCACTTTTTTTTTTTGTTTAACAAAATGTGATTATTTTTATGTTTAATTTTTTTTCCAGGCTATGCTCTTTGACACTTTCAAGACTGGTTGTTTTGCGGCCGTTAGGAGCCGAATTAGCCTCCATAACTGTGGCAGTGAAAATGCAAAGTTCGAAAAGAATTTTACGTTCAAACGAAATGACTTTACCAACCAATGGACTTCTTGACACTGAGTTAGATCTCCACTTCGCATTACAATATCCACATTTTTTAAAAAGAGACGGAAACAAACTTCATGTTATGTTACAGAGGAGGAAAAGATATAAAAATAGAACCATACTCGGGTTTAAAACTTTGGCAGAAGGAGTTGTCAACATGTCACAGGTTTATATAACTAACTATTTTTAATTTAATAAT